TCTTAGCCCTCGTTCACACCTGAACGGTTTGTAGCGCGTTCTACGCTCGACGAGCGCTCTACAAAACGCTCAAAAATATAAATCCCGTTGTATTCAATGGTCTCGTTCCCACCTCGGCGTATTTCCGCCCGTCCCTAACGCGCTACAAAAACGGCCCACGCCTGAAAAGGTCCAGGTACTGTTTTGGGCCGTTCTGTTGCGCATTTCCATTGGGATACAGCCAAGTAGCCTTCGGAAACGCGCCACTTTTTTACCGGTAAAAAAAAAAAACGCACGACAGACGCGCATGTGCAATACGCCTAGGTGTGAACGAGACCTTACTCTCATCTTCTTCTCTTGTTTGTCTGCGGTGAATGTTAGTTGTGCAACGCCTTGGTCGCTTTGTTTGCATGCCAAGCGGGTGCCTGGTTCCTTAGAATTGGCTCGCCTCCGATAGCAGGATGGCGGCCCGAGCTCTGCAAGGTGAAGCACTCCAAACTGCGCCTGGCTCAGGGATCCCACAAGGTGCATACACCGCGAGTGCCTTCTATGTTATACGGCCCGGACATGACATATGCTTTGTAAGACCGCGGTTGTTGCGCTGTATGTACGCTGTTTGGTTCCGTTGGCGTGTTCATATCGTTTTGTTTTTGTAAAAATCTCCATAAAAATATATTTCTGAAAAAACAAAAACAATAGCCAGAGAAGAATTGCAGGTAGCTATAGAACATAAAAATAAAAGAGCCCTTCATTATCGAAATCAACGGGCCTATCAACTGGGAAACAAACCCGGGGAATATATGGCTAAACCACTTAAAAAAAAAACAACATAACACCTTCATAGCAAAAATGAAATCAAAGCGGGACACCATAGTACATACTTCCACACATATCTCCCAAGCCTTCAGAGAATACTATGCATCTCTATACATTAAAACATACCCCACGCCCCAAACTAAACAACAACATGTAGAACGTATTAAAGGAGAACTATGAGGGGGAGGGGCTTTTCACTCACCTCATAGTTCTAAGCCGACCTGTGACAATGAGACTGTCGCAGGTCGGAGTTCGCTCACCTCTCGATCCTGTCACGGCTCTCTGCCGTGACAGGGGGAGGGGCTGGATTCCCCCCTCCCCGCTCCGATCCGCCAGCGCCGACTGGCGGAACGGACGGGGGAGGGGGCGGGTACAGCTGGCTCTAGATAGCTGTCACTCACGCAGCTGGGCGGATCCCGTCGTCTACGTCGGGATCCGCTCCGGCTGCGGCGTCTCAGTATGCCGCGAGCTGTAGCTCCCTATATACTGAGCTTAGGGTAATGGGAGGACGCTAGTTTGTGTCCTCCCGTTACCCTAAGGAGAACTATGGGGGAAAACACTGACCCCCATAGTTCTCCTTTAAGGGCTACTCCTGTATCATATCGGGATAGGACCTCGGCTTATAACAGGAATGATGTCACTATACACAAATCCTACCGCACGTATTAAGATGAATGGATGCTTATCGGAAGCGTTCCCAATGTTTAACGGCACAAGACAAGGATGCCCCTTATCACCATTCATTTTTGCCCTCACAATGGAACCCTTTCTCACTACTATACGACACAATAGGGACATTAAAAGGTATTACGGTTAGGCCCCGTTCACATTGAGCGATTTATCGCGCGGTAATTCCCGCGATATCGCGGCAATTTACCGCGCGATATCGCTCTCCAATGCTTCTCAATGGGGCAAAGGGTCCTGCTGTCGCGGGTGGTGCGTCGCTGCAGCAGGACCCTTTTTGGAGCGGATTCAGCCGCGATTCAATGCAAGCATTTGCGCGACAAACGCGCGATTGGCGAACCGCTCAATGTGAACGGGGCCTTAGAGACCACGAACATAAATTGGCAGCATATGCCGACGACACCAAAAACCACAGATATCACTACCGCTATCACTGAAAGAATTTGAAATCTTTAATATAATATCAAATTTCAAAATGAACCAGAAATACTAAATATATCGACACCTCACCGCATGGTCACGACTTTGCAGAAATCTTTTCCGTTTCACTGGCAATCACAAAAGATGACATTTTTGGGGTATTTATCTGACCCCCTCTGTCACGAATCTTTAAAGTACTAAATTATTTACCCACACTTAAAGGAGAACTATGGGGTCAGGGCTTTTCCCCATAGTTCTCCTCAGGGTAACGGGAGGACACAACCTAGCGTCCTCCCGTCACCCAAAGCTCAGAATACCGCGAGCTACAGCTCCCTATATACTGAGACGCCGCAGTATACCGCGAGCTACAGCTCCCTATATACTGAGACGCCGCAGTATACCGCGAGCTACAGCTCCCTATATACTGAGACGCCGCAGTATACCGCGAGCTACAGCTCCCTATATACTGAGACGCCGCAGTATACCGCGAGCTACAGCTCCCTATATACTGAGACGCCGCAGTATACCGCGAGCTACAGCTCCCTATATACTGAGACGCCGCAGTATACCGCGAGCTACAGCTCCCTATATACTGAGACGCCGCAGTATACCGCGAGCTACAGCTCCCTATATACTGAGACGCCGCAGTATACCGCGAGCTACAGCTCCCTATATACTGAGACGCCGCAGTATACCGCGAGCTACAGCTCCCTATATACTGAGACGCCGCAGTATACCGCGAGCTACAGCTCCCTATATACTGAGACGCCGCAGTATACCGCGAGCTACAGCTCCCTATATACTGAGACGCCGCAGTATACCGCGAGCTACAGCTCCCTATATACTGAGACGCCGCAGTATACCGCGAGCTACAGCTCCCTATATACTGAGACGCCGCAGTATACCGCGAGCTACAGCTCCCTATATACTGAGACGCCGCAGTATACCGCGAGCTACAGCTCCCTATATACTGAGACGCCGCAGTATACCGCGAGCTACAGCTCCCTATATACTGAGACGCCGCAGTATACCGCGAGCTACAGCTCCCTATATACTGAGACGCCGCAGTATACCGCGAGCTACAGCTCCCTATATACTGAGACGCCGCAGTATACCGCGAGCTACAGCTCCCTATATACTGAGACGCCGCAGTATACCGCGAGCTACAGCTCCCTATATACTGAGACGCCGCAGTATACCGCGAGCTACAGCTCCCTATATACTGAGACGCCGCAGTATACCGCGAGCTACAGCTCCCTATATACTGAGACGCCGCAGTATACCGCGAGCTACAGCTCCCTATATACTGAGACGCCGCAGTATACCGCGAGCTACAGCTCCCTATATACTGAGACGCCGCAGTATACCGCGAGCTACAGCTCCCTATATACTGAGACGCCGCAGTATACCGCGAGCTACAGCTCCCTATATACTGAGACGCCGCAGTATACCGCGAGCTACAGCTCCCTATATACTGAGACGCCGCAGCCAGAGCGGATCCCGACTTAGCTGACGGGATCCGCCCAGCTGCGTGAGTGACAGCTGGCTCTGCCTATCTAGAGGCTGTACCCGCCCCCTCCCCCGTGCCAATCTATCATTCTATTGCCAGTCAGCGCTGGCGGATCGGAGCGGGGGGAATCCAGCCCCTCCCCCTGTCACGGCAGAGAGCCGTGACAGGATCGAGAGGTGAGCGAGCGCCGGTATGTGTTCGCTCACCTCCCGATCTACTGAGCCGACCTGCGACAGTCTCATTGTCACAGGTCGGCCAGAACTATGAGGTGAGTGAAAAGCCCCTCCCCCCTCATAGTTCTCCTTTAATACGATTAAAAGAGACACGACTAAATGGATTCAACACCACCCATATATCTCACTCACTGGTAGAATTAATGTTCTAAAAATGAATGTATTACCTAGAATGCTGTACTTATTCCAAACAATACGGACACACTTGCCATCTCCATATCTCCGTACCCCAAAGACTGTAATTGGCAGATATAT